ACGACCATGCGCGTGGAGCCGCGTGACTCTGGTCCGGTTGGAGGCTGCTGCGTCTGTGGGACTGCAGCTGACACTGATGCAGTGCCCATGTGGGCCTGGAGTGGGGAGGTCCCCCCTTAACTCTCAGGATGCGGTTCAATGACAGTCATTCCCCAGCAGAAAAGGTGGCCAGACGGGTGAGGGGAGCCAGGGCCCAGCCTGCAGGTGCAGCCCTCAGCCGGCCACCTGGCATGGAGTTTGCCAAGGACAGGGGCACAATGCCGAGGCTGGAGCCCAGGTGGAGACCTTACCCTCAGCCTGCCAGGCAGTGTGTCTGGACAGCAGCAGGGCCCTGGACACGCCCCTCCCTCCCCAGCACAGCAGCCTCTGAGTGCGTCTGTTCATTTGTAATTATTTTGGAAACACCTGTTCAGCTACATGATGGGGGCAAGGTGTGGGGATCGTCCTCTTTCCACAACACAGTTTGCTGCTGCAGGCTGTACAGAGGCTGCTTAGTGACACTGCCTCCTGGAGAGTCCGTCTGTCCCCGTCCCCTCCTCTGTCCGCACAGCTGCATTCCCACACAATATCAATTAGCCACAGCATCACCACCACCTGTGCCGGAGACGCGTCCCTCACTGATAACCAGCAGGTTTGGGGGAGCCATGTCCCCTCAAAGTTACCTTTTAAGCCTCATTAAGCAGAAAATCAGAGCCGACTTGCCACACCCATGCTCACTGAAAGGTGCCGACCACCCCCATGCCCCACCCCGGGCTCCAGGCCCCTGCAGGAAGCCCCCCTTCTTCCTCTTGTCAAATCTGATGGCCCAGGAGGCCCAGCTGCTGGCTGAGCAGGGCGGGTCAGGTGGAGGCTTCCAGGGGTAAAATATTGGGACCCAGGAAGTGACTGAGGCTCAGGGGATGGAACCCCCGCCCCACCAACCTAGTTCTTAATCCCTTTCTGCAGAGCCAATACTTGCCACATTCCGCCATTCCCATCCTGACTAGGTGGCTGCCACCTCATGCACCGGCCCTTCCTCCGCCTCCAGTCTGCACTGAACGCTCTCGCCCACCTTCTGGAACAGCTGTGAGGCAGAGGTGACCCCACCCTGTGTGAGGCTCAGGCGTTTCTCCCGGGCCGACACCCCATTTCCTCCAGGCCACAGCCATGAGATGCTCTTTGGTCTCGGGCCACATCTACACTGTGCATCTTGGGGCGATGCTGCAGTGGGCACAGCTGTGGCCTCGGGGACTGACAGTAAAGTTTTATTTTATTTTTAATATTTTTTGAGATGAAGTCTTGCTTTGTTGCCCAGGCTGGAGTGCAACGGCCACGATCTTGGCTCACTGCAACCTCCGCCTCCCCAGTTCAAGCGATTCTCCTGCCTCAGCCTCCAGAGTAGCTGGGACTATGGGTGTACACCATGCCCGGCTAATTTTTTTCTTGTATTTTCAGTAGAGACTGGGTTTTGCCATGTTGGCCAGGCCGGTCTTGAACTCCTGACCTCAGGTGATCTGCCTGCCTTGGCCTCCCAAAGTGTTGGGATTACAGGTGTGAGCCACCGCGCCCAGCCTGACAGTCAAGTTTTAAATCTGAGCTTTGGTGCTTTGGAAAGAGTAACCTTCTCTCCCAGCCTAAGGTTTCTCCTGAAAAAATGGTCAATGGAATCCCACAGGCCTGTTGTCTCCAGTCCACAGCTTCCATTTCAAAAGGCTCTGAAAACGGAAATGTTAAAAAAACACTCGTTTGATAGCAAAGCCTGCCCTGGAGTGACCCAAGGCCGGATGTGCTGTTCGCCCCAGTTTCCCTTCCTGGGGGGAGAAAGCCTGAAGGGAGCCATGGCCGAAGGACCCCCACACCGAGGACAGGCCGCCATCCTCCCTTTTCCTCGCCCTCCTCTGTCTGTGTCTGGGTTCAGGGAGGCTCCATGTGCCTCTGGCTGTGACGTCTGCGAGTGGGGTGTGCCCTGGGTGCCACGCAGCCTTCCTGCCAGGCAATGAGGACACACTGGCCTGCTCCCGTCTTCCCTTCCCACTCTATGCTCACCCCTCCGATGGGCGCACTCATAGGTGGGGACAGCCCGGGAACCTCCAAAGCTCTGACTCTCTCTTCTCCTTCCAGAAAGGGTTACAGGACCTGACCTCTGGGGCACCCAACTCATTCTATTTGCCAGGGCTTTCCAGGTTTTAAGACTGAAAGGGCTGTGTCCTGGGAATTAGAATGGTGGCTCCCATCTCACCTCGGTGAAACACACAAGGCAAACTCGACAGAAAGGGAAGAAGGGCCCCAGAGATCTCTCAGGGCTGGGGGCGGAGGGAAGTGGGGACAGCAGGGCTGTCCTGGCAGGTCAGGGTTGTGCTGTAAGAGGATGAAGGCAAGGGGGCTGGAAACCCACACAGAAAGAGAGCTGTATGCAACACCACACCACAAACATGCTTATATATGCACGCACATGCACACACCCCACATGCATGCACACACATGAAAGCACCCGACATGCATGCACACACCTCACACATGCATACACACCCCCACATGTATGCAGACATGCCACACACATGTGCACACCACACTCCCTCATGCATGCACACACACCACACATACACGCACACATACACACACCCTGCATGCATGCACACACACCTCATGCATGCACACACACCTCACACATGCACACACACTGCATATACATGCAGACATACCACACATATGCATACACACCCCACATGCAAGTACACATCCCCACACATATGCACACCCCCCCACATGCATGCACACACCACACATATGCACACCCCCACATGCATGCACACACACCACACATATGCACACACACACCTCACACATGCACACACACTGCACATGCGTGAAGACACACCACACATATGCACACCCCCCACATGCATGCACACATCGCACATATGCACACCCCACATGCATGCACACACATGCACACCACCACATGCATGCACACACATCACACACGTGCACACACATGCACACCACCACATGCATGCACACACATCACACACGTGCACACACATGCACACCCCCACATGCATGCACACACATCACACACGTGCACACATATGCACACCCCCACATGCATGCACACACATCACACACGTGCACACACATGCACACCACCACATGCACGCACACACACCACCCATATGCAGACAGATACACACACACCACATATGGACGCATGCACACACACATCATATATTCACACGAGTCCACACAGGCACACCACATGGACACACACATACAGCACACACAGACACACATACACAGACACAAACACAAGTTTGGGTAACACACTTGGGCAGAGATAATTTTTGCCCCATCTGATGTCTGCCTGTCTCGAGACTAGGCTGACGACAGGCGGTCAGTTGCCCCACCAAGGCCAGTCTTTTCTTTCCAGACCCGCCAGGCCTCCCACAAGCCAGATGAAACCAGTGACCAGGGGCTTGAGACTCACTATACATTTGGGATATTTTTAAAAGCATGGGTTGATGGTTAGGGGAGCAGAGCTACTCAGACAAGAGGGGGTGCACTGCAGAAGCACCCCATCTTCTGCAGAGAACATTGAGAGAGGAGAAGGAGGCGGCGGGAGGGGAAGGGGAGGGGGAACAGGGGAGAACAAGCCCAATGCTTTTCCTTCTGTTAGTGCTCTGGAAGCTGCTAAGGTAGAGGGCAGGAGAGCAGATGGCTTTGGATGCATCTGCTCATTCTGGACACACCACTGAGGCCACCACCCTGAGGGTGGATCCAGAGTAAAAGCAGGGGCGTGCTTTTCTCCTCCTGGCAGTAGGTGAAGATGCTTATTTTAGAAACCCAGATTCCTGAATGTGAAATGAACACCTTCCCGTTTGTCTGTAGTGCTTGAAATGAAAGCGAGGGCTTCACCAACTTCTCAGCTGAGGGCCATGGGGACACTCTCTGGCAGGTGGGATGGTTCTGCCCAGGGGCTTGGTTAGTGTGGGGTCTGGAGAACGAGTTTCTCCCCTCTGTTTCTTCCACCAGCAGCCTGGGCCTGTTGGCACTCACTGGCTCATGGTCAGTGGGTTTCGGAATCCCAGTCCCTAAAGCTGTGGGTGTGTTCATGGACGGAACACCCTTGCGACGAGTCTCTCACCAGTTTGCATTATGTGGACACACCGGGACGCAATGCCCCAGGAGTCTGCTGGCTGTGGACGATGGTTTTGTTTCCGTGCATGAAACGCAGAGACCGTTTGACCCTGTAACTTTGGTAGCTTTGGTGTTATCTGTGGTCGGAAAGCAGGAAGTGCTGGGGGCCGGAAGCAGCTCCAGATGCCAAGAGCGCGTAGAGGCTCTGGACAACGGCGACAAAAATGCGTCCTGTCAGATGCCTTGTGGCCATCAGAGAGCACCGTGGGTCCTGTCTGTGTCTCGGGGTTTGGAGATCCGGACTGGTGGAGGCCTCATTAGGACAGCAAGGGCAACCCACGTGCACGGGGAGATTGGCCTCACGTCAGGGCGAATCAGGGGGTCCCAGGGGAGCAACTGACTGTGGGCTCATTACTTTTGACAAAACCCAGCTTGGAGGCAAAACGAGGCTGGCTAGGAAGAGGTGCAGACATTCTCTGAGGCGCACTTTAGCCAAGATCATGGTCCCGTCCCCTGGGGTCCCAGGTGGGGCAGGCACGCTTGCTGGCCGTGTGTGTCTAGGGCAACAGAGACCACTGGCAGGCCCATGTGCCGCTCTGCGCTGTTTCTGACCACCATGGCCCCCAGAAACGCACGCAGAGGCAGCTTGCCTGCAAGGGCGGCTCTCGGAGGATGCCCACAGATGCCTGGGCAAAGACACGCCAGGGGAGGACAGAGCCAGGAGAGTCTACACTGGTGTGCTCAGAGACCCCCTTCCATCCATGCCCCTCAGAGGGGCTCCTCCTCTTATGTTAACTTCGAGGATAATTCTGACTATCTTCCCATTCAGCTACTACACAACAGCTTTTATACATTTATGTGAGTAAATACGCCTCAGGCACGTCAGATTGGAAATAATACAGCATAAATCACTTTTTACAACAAGTAAAACAGTTGAATCAAAGGTGACTTTGCTAATTGTTTGAACCTTTTCTGCATTCGGGGTAGCACAGGTTTTGTCCCTTTGGGATTAAATTTGCAAACGCACATCAACTTTCTAATTTTACGAAACAGACTTTGGTTGGAGTATTGGAACACAGTATCCAGGGTTATGAGTTCAAAGAGGTAATTGTTGGAGAAATAATTTAATACATCACAAATCCCTCTATTTCCATCTCTTCAAATGGGATGCCAAAAGCGATTAAAGACTAAAAACATATCACAAGCAAATTCACATTAGAAAATTGCTGTAATCACTCTGCTGGATTAACCAGGGTTGAGGAGCCTCTGGCGGCTGCTTCCAACAGGAGGTCTTCGGAGAGCGATGGGGAAGCCAGAGTGGCTTTGGGGTTGGAGACCGTTTGTGCATTTCACCCATCCTTTCAGGAGAACGGTGTTTGTCCTTTACGAAGAGGTGCCTCTTCTCATGTTCCCATCCTGCAAGGGAAACAGACACGCGCATTTGGTAACGTAAGCGTCTGTAAAGCAGGCGGCTGGTCATTGGCTTAACCATAAGGTAAAACAAAGTTCCCCAACGAGTCTAGTGACAGCTGCGCTCATGAAAAAAAAATCCCATCGTTGGGATGAAATTATCAGCTAAAGGAAGCTGTTGGAAGCCAGCGTGCCTGGTCGACCAGGGTCTGTGCATGGACTTCTGTGGGCTGGATGGACCCAGTGGCACCAGACAGGCCCTAGGGTGGAGCTGGAGCTGGGGCAGTTCTGCCCTGAGATACGAGGCCAATTGCCTGTTACTGAAAACCAGGGATGCAGTTTCACGTGAGTGAATTTCTTAACTGGGGGAAGCAAGCTCTTTGTAACACACTGGGCACCATCGGAACCAAAAGTGCTAGGGCCACGGTGCCTCACCCAGGAGGTGGCAAAGTCCAGGGCACCTTGGTTTCAGGCAGGAAACTGCATTTTAAGGGCTGCCTTGTCTGAGGTATGCTGACCACAGGGCATCCAAAAGTGCGGAAATGCAGGAGAAGCGTCTGTCTCTATAAGAAATGAAAAAAGGAGAGGCCCTGTGAACCCCTTGTTTGTTTTTTAACCGGCTGGGCCCTCTATTTTTACCCAGCAAGCTAGAGAGTCCCTGGGGAGCAAGGGAGCAGGCATGGCCATTAGTGCATGAAGACACGAGTGGGACCTAGTCAGGCAATCTGCGTCTCCTGACCCCAGCGAGGGACTCTTACAGAGCCACTGGGCTCGGAGAAGCCTGTCCCAAGCTTCCACAAACTAGGCTTCACAAAAGGACCCCTTTCCAAAGAGAGGCCAAGCCATCAAGAGAATGGGTCTTGGCCAGGTGTGGTGGCTCATGCCTGTAATCCCAGCACTTTGGGAGGCTGAGGCAGGTGGATCACTTGAGGTCAGGACTTTAAGACCAGCCTGGGCAACATGGCAAAATGACGCCTCTACTAAAAACACACAAATTAGCCAAGTGTGGTGGCACTCGTCTATAATCTCAGTTACTCAGGAGGTGAAGCAGAAGAATAGCGTGAACCCAGGAGGCAGAGGTTGCAGTGAGCAGAGATCACATCACTGCATTCAGCCTGGGCAACAGAGTGAGACCCCGTCTCAAAAAAAAAAAAAAAAAAAAAAAAATTCTGTGAGTCGCTCAAGCAGCAGCCAGCAGGGCCCATACCTTTACTCTGCGGCTACAGGAGGAAGAAGGCAGCATGGCTCCCAGACAAACCCCTTGGCAGGGCTGGAGGACCCGAGGCAGTCACCACACTGGACTGACTTTGGGGAGTTCGCCTTGTAATCTGCTGTCTCCTGTTTCCTAGGCTTGCGTGTGGTTGGCATGTGTGAGGCTGGAGGGGCGTGTGGAGCCAGTGACTCAGTGGGTACAGCCTCTGCCTTTCCTGCTGCCGGCCCGGGGCCCCAGCCCCAGCCCCAGCCCCAGCCCCAGCCCCAGCCCCAGCCCGTACTTTGGAGAAAAGCTCTTTGGAGAAAGGCTCAGTGAATCAGGATTGGAAGAAAAACAAGGATGGGGCATTTCCTATTTGCCCAGTTCTAGAATGGACTCCCTGAGTCCACGGCATTTCCCGGTTATTATTAAACAGAGAAAGAAGCAAGGAGCACTTTGTATGCTTGGCATTTTCACAGCCAAGAGCTGCAAAACCCGAGGCTGCCAAACCACGCGTGATCACTGAACACTGAAACGCATTGAAACATGGCTGGTATGAACAGAGCTGGGCTTTAAGGGCAAAACACATGCTGGAACTTAAAGACTTAGTGCCAAGAAAGTAAAACATTGAATAATTTTAAATATTGATGACACACTGACATTGTATTTTGGATGTGTTGGGATAAGTATTAAGTTATCAATAAAAATAATTTCACTTGCTTCTATTTCCTTTTTTAATATGGCCACTTGAAAATGTAAAATTCTACACACATCCACATTCTCTACGTACAGCAACACTGGTCACAGGGGGTAGTGTGAACACCTTGGTTCTGGGGATGTGGCCTCCCACCTTCCACAGCCTGCATATGTGAACACCTCGGTTCTGTGGACGTGGCCTTCCACCTCCCACAGTCTGCACATCTCCAACTAGGAGGAATCTAAAGGTAAGCATCTTAGCCAGACCTGGTGGCTCAGCCTATAATCCCAGCACTTACTTGGGAGTCCGAGGCAGGCAGACCACTTGAGGTCAGGAGTTCAAGACCAGCCTGGCCAACATGGTGAAGCCCCATCTCTATGAAAAAATACAAAAATTAGCCAGGCGTGGTGGCACACATCTGTAGTCCCACCTACTAGGGAGGCTGAGGCAGGAGAATCACGTGAACCTGGGAGGCAGAGGCTGCAGTGAGCCAAGCCAAGATTGTGCCACTGCACTCCAGCCTCCGTGATGGAGCGAAACTCTGTCTTAAAAACAAAACGAAACAAAACAAAAACAGGGTGAGTGTCTTGAAAAGCTCCTTCGTGTTCGATTCCTCCCCGAGTGTTGGGGGAAGGGTGGCTCCTGGTGGGTGGTGATGCTGAAGTTCTTTCTGGGTGATCCCCAGCCATTCTCAACACACCTGCAGGAACACAGCCGTCAGAGAAAAGACGAGCAGACCCCCACGTTTCTCGGGAGCCACGGGCTTGCACGGGCACCCGCGTGGGTTCTATTTTGCTGTGTGCCAGATGTGGGCACACGGGCTGTGGAGGGCTGTCTTGGAATGAGAAGATCCTTGGGCAAACCTGAGAAAGGCCAAATGGCACCGAGATAGCCCAGGTGGCTTCATGAGCAGCCACTGCAGAGAAGGGGAGGTAATTCTTCTCTGAAACACTATTCTCCGCTCAGGCCAAGTGAGACGCATGCAGACTTTTGTAGAACAGTAGAAAAACAGCTTTGTCATGTACAGAAAAGTTTAAATGTAACTTGAATTTTTATTTAAATTAAGTTATCGGAATAATTTTTGATTAGTGAAGTGGTTCTTTCATAAACTTATTCTCCACCCAAAGAGGGAAAGAGAGATTTTTTTTCCTTTGCCCTTTTCCTTATGATTTCACACATTTGCTATAATAAGTGGTTGCTTTTGGATCAGTTTTAGCATCTCAGAGATTCTTCAGACTCTGGTTTAGAGTGGACACAATTCTCTGAAAAATGAAATGATGGTGAATTCAGCTACAAATGAACACCATTTCACTTGATGTTAAAATTTAACCATATTATTTTTATAAAATAAGTGGAAATAAAATGCTTTACTCTAAATATAAATGACGTACCAATGTCTCTGATTTTAACCAGAATAAATACCCCTGTTTCGAATTCTGATAAGCAGGTAATTTATTTAAGATCAGGTTGAAATGTCCTAGAAGTGAAGGACATTTGAGTTTCCAGCTTTCCCACTTTATTTAAAAGGGGAAAAACGTTGTCTGGTACTCAGCTTTTCGAATGTGCAAAACTGATAAACTAGTCCGTTAGAGGGGGGAAGAAAAGACAATGAAATAAAAGTGGAAATTAGCAGAAACCAGTATTAGGCATATGTCTTTATGAATAAGACTTAACCATACACTTCATTTCACAAGTACAGAAGGCCCTCTGGAATGTATTAATTAAAGTTAAACGCTGTAGACAGGCGCGTTGCAGGGCGGCGGCCCTCTCCCCTTGGCATTACCGACAGCCGAGGAAATTGGGTTAATAAAGCCGGATACTGCGGCGCGCGCGGCCGCAAACAGGCGCGGACAGCTGGGTCCCCGGGGGCGCCCTGCCCGGCTCCCTGGACCCCGGATGGTGGCAGAGCTGGGAGTTGCGCAGCGCATCTCCGTTCGCATCCGGGGGGCGCGGGGCCCGCAGCAGCGTACTCACCCGTAGCCCGGCCTCCTCCCTCCGAAGCGCGAGGGGATCGGTGGGGAGGGGGCTTTGCTGGACACCAGGGCTAGACGACGGGGCCCTCCCCTGACCGTCCAGGGTTAAGTAGGGCGCGGGCTGTTAGGACCCTCCTCCACGCAGCGCTCCGAGGCAGAGGGCCCGCAAGGCGGTCTCCATCCGACTCCACCGCGCGGACGTCCCCGGCAGGGGATGGCGGCGGTGCGGGAGGCCAGGGGACGTTTAGGGGACAAATCCCGCAGACTTCGAGGCAGCCGGCGCCGATGTCCACTTCCCAAATAAATAGAACAAACTCCTACTTGGAAAAGGCCGAAAGCTCTTCGCCCGGGGTCTTCCTGCGCCCGCGGTCCAGCTCCTCTGCACACGGCCATCGTGGGCTCTCCTCAGGGCTGCGGAGTCGCGGAGTCACCGAGGTGGGAGGTGCCGGCCACGCGCGTCCTCGGGAACAGAGCACTGCCCTGCAGTTTAGCACGAAGGGCCGACTGGAGCGGGAGCGCGAGGCCCACTGCGGGAGGATCACGAGCCACTAAGTCCGACTTTGCTTAGTCTCCACCCTCCGTGCGCCTCAGGTCAGGACCTCCTGTCCGGAATCTGACAAGTGCCGGTCCTCGCCGCGGCCCTGGAACACTGCGGTGGTCTTCTTTCGGGGGCGAACGGCAGTGCCCGAAGAATGCTGTACCCACCCCGTTCCTAGACTTGCTGGGTCCCGACAATGCCCAGTGGGTGCCACGAGTTCCGGGGCGCAGAGCACAGCGTCCGGCTCCGGAGTTCAATCCCGCGTCCCGACGGCTTTGGCGCTTCCCGCTGCGCCAAACTGTTCGCCGCGCACAGGCTGGAAGCGAGGTCGGGCCGCCTCCTCCCTGTCTGCAGGGTCCCTCCAGGCCTTTCCTGTCCGGGCAGAGCGACAGTCACACGGGAGATCGGAGGACGCGTGCGGGAGGGGCGCGGGCCCGCGCGGTCACGGCTTCTCGTGACAGTGTTTGCAAAGGGCGGAGGGCGTCCCGGAGAAGGCGGCGCACTTGTCAGGGCAGGGGCCCAGCGCAGCGCCCGCCGAGAAGGGACACACGGTGGCCTGGCCGAAGGGCGTCAAGGGCGCGGCGGCCACGGGCGCAGCCAGGCCCTGGCCCTGGTTGAGGAAGGCCACCAGGCGCCGCATCTCGTCCAGAGCCTGCGCCTGCATGAGGATGTAGTTCTTGGCGAGCAGCAGCGTGGCGATCTTGGAGAGCTTGCGCACCGACGGGCTGTGCGCGTAGGGGATGACTGCCCGCAGCCCGTCCAGCGCGTCGTTTAGGTCGTGCATGCGCCGCCGCTCGCGCGCGTTGATGCTGAGCCGCAGGGACCGCTGCTCTCGCGGCCGCCGCCGCCCGTCCCCAGCGCCCCCCGGCCCGCGCCGCCGCCGCCGCTGCTCGAAGGCGTCGTCCTCGTCGCCGCTCTGTTCGCCGCTGCTCTCCGCCGCCGCAGCTGGGGCGCCAGGTGCGGGCGCCGCTGGTAGATCGCCGCCCGGGCCCGGAGCGCCGTAGCCGCGGGCCGCTTCGGGACCTCGCGCCGCCCCGTAGGCGAGACCCGCAGCCGCCGCCGCGTAGCCGTGGCTCAGTGCCAGGTACGCGTCCCCCGACAGCGACTTGAGCTCGGCCATGGCCTCGCCGCCTGGGCTCGGGGGCTCGCCGGGTGGGCGGATGCTCATGCGGGTGAACCACCCCCGAGGCCCGCCCGAGCCCGCCGCTGCAGCTGCGATGCGGCTCCCGGCTCTGCGCGTCGGTCCGGCCTGCCTGCGAGTCCCAGAGCCTCGGAGCCCGCTGCCTCCTCCGCCTCTTCCTTCTCTCCCACCTCCTCTCTCTCCCAGCCGCGGTGCGCAGGGGGCGGGCTCTACCGCCCACTCGCCCCCGTTTCGGTTTTAAGCCGCGGAGGCGCCCGGTGGGACTTCGCTGCTGTCCAATCAGGGGGGACCGGGTGAGCGCCTCTTCCCGGAGCTGGGCTCCACCAGCGCTGCAGGCTGATAGGCCGGGGGTAGAGGCTCTGGAGAGGGGCGGCGCGGGGCGGCGGGGTCCTGGAGCGTTCCTACTTGCTTCTCCACGCCCCGGCTGCCACCTCCGGCCGCCCTGGGGCTTCCGCACCAAACGCACGCGTCCCACGTGGGCACCTGCCTTGGTCAGTCTTTGAGTCCGACCCTAGCCCAGGAGTTCCCGGCGACACGCAGGGGCCAGAGCCGGGGGCGGGCAGCAATAGCACCAGCACCGGCACCAGCGCCAACGCCCTGTCCCGCTGAGGGGCCGCTTCGGGTCGGGGTCGGGGTCGTGGGCGCTGTAGTCCAGCCGCGGCGCAGCGTGTACCCGGAGCCTGCGCACTCCCCACTCGGGGCGCCCTGTGGCCAGGCTTGAGGGGCGGAGTAAGAGGGAGTTTCTAGAACCTGTTGAAAAACGGCACGAGCGTTGCAGGCAGGGGAGGGCAGGAAGGTGGAGGGCAGCGCGGCCTGGAGCTCCCCGGGTGGCGGGGTGGGGTGGGGGGCTCTGTGAGCTGCAGGACGGCCTCCTCCCTGCCAGTCGCTTCCTGGGCATCTATCAGTGAAACGCGTGGGGCTTGGTGGGCTTTCCCGGAGCTTCCAATCCCCTGCGGTCCAACCACAATGCATGGGAATGTGGCCAGCCTCGGACTCGCCTTTTCAGTCCTCTTCCAACCCCACATGAAGACGAGGACCCCAGCGCTTCTCCCAGGTGGGAACCTGCCTGCAGGCCCGGCCAAGTGCTGAGGCTAGAGTGTGCTGAGGGATAATGGTTTCTCCGCTCTTCGCTTGGGTGGGAGACTGGGCCACCCTGGCCTCTGGCACGAGGTGGAGCGGCCCGTCGGGCCCTTCTGTGTGACCTGGGCAGAGCCGCATACCCTCTCTGTTCTCCAGGTTCCGCCCCAGGAGGAGCCACAGAGATGGGGCTGTGTGTGCAGCCCCGGGAGGGGAGTGGGCGCTGCACGTGTGTGGGGTGGATGTGCTGTCTGGAAGGCTCTGGGAACGCAGCAGTGACCGGCCTGCCCCGTGGTTCCCTGCCGGATTCGGGGTGTGAGGAGACAGATGCATGGATAAGTCGCTGTGGGAAACTCAGGCCTTTGTCCTGGCGGAGGGGATTGGGCCTGAGGCAGCCTCTGCGGGGCTGGCGGCCTGTCTGGCTGCGCGTCCTGTGGCACCGGCCTCACCCCCGGCACACGCCGGCCAGGAGCGCAGGGGCCCCGAGGACGGAAGCGTCTGTCTGAGGCCCTCTCCTGGGCCCCACACCGCCTTCGGGGCCGATGCGGACCGGGAATTGGGGAGACCTGGTGTGGAGGAGGCCGCTGTGTTTGGGCCTGGGTCTGAAGGGTGAGTGGGTGTCATTGTGGCCACGGGCTGGGGTCCGGGGAGCATTCAGGTGGCCAGAGGCGGCCTGGCACAGGGGAGGGCAGTGAGGGGCCCCGGTGGGGCCGGTACCAGGCCTGTGGGACCGTTTGAGTCACTGGGGAGTTTGGTCTTTATGGGAAGAAAGGCGCCCTGGCCATTCGGAGAGCCACTCTGGCGCTGCTGCCGGTGCCGTCCGGGGCTGCGGGGCCTCCTCCTGGGCCTGAACTGCAGGGCCGGTGGGGGCCGTGGGGGAAGGTGGCTGCCCGGGTCCCCGGAGCTGGAGGAGCGGGAGGATGGGGTTGACCAGGAGGGGAAGCTATGGACCCGGAGAATGTCGGAGGCCCCCGAGGGGAGGTGCAGGCAGCGCTGGTGGGAGGCCTCCGAGGGGTATGCGGTAATTGGCATCACGAGTGTGGTGAGAGTAGCTTTTAAAGCATCGGCTGGAGCAGGGTCCTCATTAAAGCCAGGGACGCTGACGCCGTGGGGCTGGGGCTGGGGCTGGGGCTGGGGCTGGGGCTGGGCCGGGGCTTTGGGAGGTCCGAGCTCCCCAGCAGGGAGCAGGGCTCTGGGCCAGTTCCCAGGCCCAGTTAATCAGGAACCTTCAATAGGATCGGCCTTGGCTCAGAAGGTTGGAGGCAGGGATGGGCAGCGGGTAAGGGATGGGGCGCACGAAACGGCACCCGGGGGAGGCCCCTGCTGCGGCCCCTGCAGGACCCGCCGCACATTCCGGGCTTCAGCCCAGCGAGCGTCAGAGGCGGCGTTTTCGGTGCGACGCTGCCACCTGCTGGCTGCCTGGGAGATTGCACCCCAGCGGCTCAGAACCCGTGTTTCTCAGAGGGGCCGGGAGGGGTGAAAATGCGCGTTCCCAGGCCCTCCCGGATTCTGCTCAGGTGGGCGCTGGGGGCTCGTTCACAGGCGCCCGCCCACGTGTTAGGGGAGCTGGAGGAACCTGACGTCTCCGCCCTCGAGTGTCCCTCCGAGCTGAGGTTGGACGTTTGCACAGGAGCAGGTGAGCCTGGGGGGGTTGAGGGCTGAGCGGGGGTCCCAGCTGATGAAGCAGCCCCGCACCTTGGCCAGGTTCTCGAATCTCCTGTGGTCAGAGACTGTGGAAAGCGGGAAGCGGCTCGTAGGCGTTTACCAGGCCAGCTGCTCATACTTTCTGGCCTCAGTTTCCACATCTGTAAAGTGGGGTCTGTCCTCAACCCGTGTGCTCTAGCAACGGCCCTGTGGAGTGGGTCTGCAACTGCGGACTCACTTGTCCTGGGCTGTTCTGAACCAGTGGCTCCCCCGTCCTCCCAGGAGACAGCACCTATGGCGGGGCAGCCGTCCCTGCAGCCGACCCTGGCTCCCACCGCGCCCTGGCCCTGGGGGTGCCCAATGACCAGGGTGTGCTGTGGCCCGAGTGAGCACCCTGTGGGCGTCACTGCTGTCCGTGCTGCTGGGATTGGGTTGTCACCACTTGGGGAAGGGTGGTCTGGTGGGGCACAGTGGGGGCACCAGGTGGTCAGGCTGGGTGGGAGTTGAGCCCCTGCTGGGTGGCGGGAGAGGGAGGGAGCCCCCGCTGGGTGGGGGGAGAGGGAGGGAGCCCCTGCTGGGTGGGAGGAGCGGGAGAGAGCCTCCTTGGGTGGAGGGAGCAGGAGGGAGCCCCCGCTGGGTGGGGGGAGAGGGAGGGAGCCCCCGCTGGTTGCGGGGAGAGGGAGGGAGCCCCCGCTGGGTGGGGGAAGAGGGAGGGAGCCCCCGCTGGGTGGGGGGAGTGGGGGAGAGCCTCCCTGGGTGGAGGGAGCGGGAGAGAGCCCCCACTGGGTGGTCTTGGACCAGCCAGGTTCTTGCCTGCAGGGCATGGCACTAGTAACTGGAACAACCCACCCTGCCCCTCCCAGAGACGGCGCCTCCTCAATGTTCCCCTTTCACAGGAGGTAGGGTCTTCTAGAGATCAAAACAGGGAGGAGGAAAGAAATCGTACCTGAGGCCGCTGCCCCAACCCTTGGACCCACACTCTTTGGTTTTTAGGGACAAGGCCCAGGCCCTGGGATTTGAAGACTCCACCTTTTCTTTCGTGTTTATATGTGCTGTGTCGTATGTTATCACATGAAGTTGATCACTGTGACCATTTTCAGGTGCACAGCCCGGGGGCATTATACACGTTCGCGGGGTTGTGCAGCCGACGCCCCCATCCATCCCCAGAATGTTTGCATCTTCCCCAACTGAAACTGTCCCCAGTAACCCCTGCTCCCCTCCTCCCCCACCCGCTGGAAACCACCACTCCGCCTCCCACCTCTGCATTTGACTGCTCCAAGTACCTCAGAAAATGGCCTCATGCGATCTCTGCACCTTCACCTCCGGCTTATTCCCAGCCTTTGGCCCGTGGGGGTGGTGAGCGCACCTGTCCAGCTCCTGCTTTCATTTCTTTCAGGGAGTTCTCACGTGGTCTTCAGAGGTTGCCACACGCTGCTTCCCACAGCAGCTGCACCACCTTACCTTCCAACAGCAATGGACAAGGGCTCTAATCTAATCTCTGCGTATTCTTGCAAACACTTGTTATTTTTGTGTGTGTGTGTGTGTGTGTGTGTGTGTGTTTTGAGACGGAGTCTCGCTCTGTCGCCCAGGCTGGAGTGAGTGGCGCCATCTCGCTCACTGCAAGCTCCGCCTCCTGGGTTCATGCCATTCTCCTGCCTCAGCCTCCCGAGTATCTGGGACTACAGGCGCCCGCCACCTCGCCCGGCTAATTTTTTTGTGTTTTTAGTAGAAACGGAGTTTCGCCGTGTCAGCCAGGATGGTCTCAACCTCCTGACCTCGTAATCTGCCCGCCTCAGCCTCCCAAAGTCCTGGGATTACAGGCGTGAGCCAGTGTGCCCGGCCTTTTCTTTTCTTTTCTTTTCTTTTCTTTTCTTTTCTTTTCTTTTCTTTTCTTTTTTTTAATAACAGTCATCCTGCTGGATGTGAAGGGGCATCTCACTGTGGTTTTGATGTTGCGTTTCCTTAATAATTAATGGTGTTGAGCATCTTGCCTTCAGTGTATAACTCCTCCTTTTCATGGTGATGATAAGTTTGTATTAGAGTTCCTGTGAGTGACACGGTGGGTATCATTCCTTCTGTCATTTATCATGTCTTAACAGTTTTCTTGTCAAACATCACTAACAAATAGCATATTTTACATAAAATGCATCGATGGGCCAGGCGTGGTGGCTCACACATGTTATCCCAGCACTTTGGGAAACTGAGGCGGGAGGATCGCTTGAGCCCAGGAGTTGGAGACCAGCCTGAGCAACATAGTGAAACCCTGTCTCTACAAAAACTAAAACAAAAAAATCAGCCGGGCGTGGTGTCGTGTGCTTGTGGTCCCATCTACTCAGGAGGCTGAGGTGGGAGGATCACTTGAGCCCAGTAGGTCGAGGCTACAGTGAGCCGTGATAGTGCCACTGCACTCCAGCCTGGGTGACAGAGCAAGACCCTGTCTCAAAAATAAATAAATGAAATGAAATATAAAATCATAAATAAAAATAAAAAGCTGTAATAGCCGGTGTTGGACATGGGACGGCTTAAGCGCAGATAGTGTCTGAAAGATGCCTGAA